CCCCCCCCCAAGCTTCACCTGCGGGGTGGGCGGAGCTTCAGCCCCACCCCCAACATCTGGATCGGGGGGTTCCTCCCCCGCCACATCTGGATCGGGGGGCGGGAACAGCTGGGTGGCCACATCTGGAATCCCGGGGGGCTCCGGGGCCGCCACATCTGGATGGGAGGGTTCCTCCCCCTCCACATCTGGAATGCCGGGGGGCTCTGGCGCCGCCACATCTGGATCGGGGGGTTCCTCCCCCGCCACATCTGGATCGGGGGGCGGGAACAGCTGGGTGGCCACATCTGGAATCTCGGGGGGCTCCGGGGGGCCCCGGGGCGTTCTGGGGGAGCCAACATCTGGACCCGGGGCTCCCTCCCCTGCCACATCTGGAGGGGGGGGCAGGAACAGCTGGGTGGCCGCGTCCAAGTCCTCCTCCCCCTCCACATCTGGATCCGGGCTCGCCGCCGCCCCTCCCCCCGCCGGGATTTTGGGGCCGTTCCGGGGTGGGTTTGGGGGCAGGAACAGCTGGGTGGCCACATCTGGATCCGGGGAGGGCGGCCCCTCCTCCACATCTGGAAGGCCGGGGCCTTCCGGGGCCCTCCCGGGGCTTTCCGGGCTCCCAACATCTGGGGAGGGCAGGAAGGGCTGGGTGGGCACATCTGGATCTGACTCTGACTCCTCCTCCACATCTGGATCCGACTCCTCCTCCACATCTGGAATTCCGGGGGGTTCCTCCTCCTCCTCCACATCCGGGCGGGGCGGCAGGAACAGCTGGGTGGGCACATCTGGATCCCACCCCTCCCCTCCCGCCGCCACATCTGGAGCCCCGGGCAGCCTCGGGGCGATCCGCCGCCTCTTGGGGGGCCGAACATCTGGATCCTCCTCCTCCTCCCCCTCCTCCACATCTGTCTCGCTGCCCAGCCGGCACCCGAACTCGGGGCCGGCCACATCTGGATCCCCGGCCACGTTTCGGGTCATTTTGGGCCTTTTGGGGGGCTCCACATCTGGATCTGCGGCCACATCTGGAGCTCCTGGGACGTTTTGGGTCATTTTGAGCCTTTCTGGGGGCTCCACATCTGGATCTGCGGCCACATCTGGAGCTCCTGGGACGTTTTGGGTCATTTTGAGGGGCTCCACATCTGGATCCTCCTCCATGTCGGTGTCGCTCTCCACCCGGCACCGGAATTCCGGGCCGGCCACATCTGGATCTGGCTTTGCGGCCACATCTGGAGTTCCTGGGAGGTCTTGGGTCATTTTGAGGAGCTCCACATCTGGATCCGCGGCCACATCTGGAGTTCCTGGGAGGTCTTGGGTCATTTTCAGCTTTTTGGGGGCCTCCACATCTGGATCCTCCTCCACATCTGTGTCGCTCTCCACCCGGCACCAGATTTTGGGGCCGGCCACATCTGGATTTGGCTTTGCGGCCCCATCTGGAGTTTCTGGGATGTTTTGGGTCATTTTGGGGGGCTCCACATCTGGACCCACAGCCACATCTGGAGTTCCTGGGAGGTCTTGCGTCATTTTGAGGAGCTCCACATCTGGATCCGCGGCCACATCTGGCGTCTCGGGCACCTTTTGGGTCATTTTCAGGAGCTCCACCTCTGGACCTGCGGCCACATCTGGAGTTTCTGGGACGTTTTGGGTCACTTTGAGCCTTTCTGGGGACTGCACATCTGGATCCTCCTCCACATCTGTGTCGCTGTCCACCAGCAGCGCCCAGGGGCGGGGCTTCGGCCCCCGAACATCTGGATCCGGGGTTTCGGCCGCCACATCTGGAGTCCCGGGCAGGCTGGGGGCGGCTCGGAGCCTTTTGGGGGGCCGCACATCTGGATCCTCCCCCTCCTCCACATCTGTGTCGCTCTCCACCAGCAGCGCCCCCCAGCCGTTCCCCAGCCGAGCAACATCTGGATCCGGGGCTCTCAGCCCCACATCTGGCGCTTCGGGGAGGTTCTGGGTCGTCCTGAGCCGTTTTAGGGGCCAAACATCTGGACGGAGCCCTTCCTCCTCCTCCTCCTCCTCCACATCTGTGTCGCTCTCCACCCGCAGTGGGCGCCGCCCGTTTTCGGCCCGGGGCACATCTGGATCGGGGGCCGCCACATCTGGAGCCCCCGAGGCGTTTTGGGGCCTTCTCGGGTCCCCGACATCTGGATCTGGGGCGGCTCGGGGCCAGGGGAGGGTTTTTGGGGGGGGCTCAACATCTGGGGGCACAGCTGGATCCTCCAGGGCGCTGGAAGGGGGAGGGGTTGAGGGGGTTCAGGAATTTGGGATTGCCTAAAATCCCCCCCCAAAATGCCCCAAAACCTCCCAAAAATGGCCCAAAATCCTCCAAAAAGGCCCCAAAATCCCCCAAAAATGCCCCAAAACCCCCCAAAATCCTCCAAAAAGGCCCCAAAATCCTCCAAAAAGGCCCCAAAATCCTCCAAAAGGCCCCAAAACCCCCACAGGAACTCCCCAAAATGGCCCAAAATCCTCCAAAAATGCCCCAAAATCCCCCCCAAAAGCCCCAAACCCCTCCAAAAGGGACCCAAAACCCTCCAAAAATGCCCCAAAATCCCCCCAAAATGCCCCAAACCCCTCCAAAAACGCCCCAAAACCCTCCAAAAATGCCCCAAAATCCCCCCAAAATGCCCCAAAACCCTCCAAAAATGGCCCAAAATCCCCCAAAAAGGCCCCAAAAAGGCCCCAAACCCCCCACAGGAACTCCCCAAAATGGCCCAAAACTCTCCAAAAATGGCCCAAAATCCCCCAAAAAGGCCCCAAAAAGGCCCAAAACCCCCCAAAAATGCCCCAAAATCCCCCCAAAATGCCCCAAAACCCTCCAAAAACGCCCCAAAACCCTCCAAAAATGGCCCAAAATCCCCCCAAAATGCCCCAAAACCCTCCAAAAATGCCCCAAAACCCTCCCAAAATGCCCCAAGGAGCCCCCAAAATTCCCCAAACTGTTCCAGGGACCCCCCAGAACTCCCCAAAACCCCTCCAGGACCCCCCCAAATTCTTCAGGGGACCCCCAAAATCCCCCCAAGCTGCTCCTAAACCACCCAAAATCCCACAAAGATCCCCCAGAACTGCACCCAAAGGACCCAAAATGCCCCCGGGGACCCCCTGACCCCCCTCAGGAACCCCAAATTCCCTCACAGAATCCTCAACTCCACTCATGGAAGCCTCAAATTCCCCTCAGAGACCCCAAACTTCCCTGAGGGACCCCAAATTTCCCTTCAGAAACACCAAACTTCCCTCAGGAACCCCAAATCCGCTTCAGAACCCCCAACTCCCCTCAGAAACCCCAAATTTCCCTCAGGAACCCCAAATCCCCTTCAGGAACCCCAAATCCCCTCCAGAAACACCAAATTTCCCTCAGGAATCCCAAATCTCCTCCAGAAACACCAAATCCCCTCAGAAACCCCAAACTTCCCTCAGGAATCCCAAATTCCCTTCAAGAACCCCAAATTTCCCTCAGGAACCCCAAATTTCCTTCAGGGGCCCCAAAACTTCCTTCAGGAACCTGAGGTTCCCTCAGGAATCCCCAGCTCCCCTCATGAACCCCAAATTTCCCTCAGGGACCCCAAATCCCCTTCAGAAACACCAAATCCCTTTCAGGACCTGCCAGTTCCCCTCAGGGAACCCCAAATTCCCTTCAGAAACCCCCAAACTTCCCTCAGGAACCCCAAATCCCCTCCAGAAACACCAAATTTCCCTCAGGAACCCCCAACTCCCCTCAGAGACCCCAAATCCCCTTCAGGAACCTCAAATTTCCCTCAGGAACCCCAAATTCCCTTCAAGAACCCCAAATTTCCCTCAGGAACCCCCAGCTCCCCTCAGGGACCCCAAACTCCTCTCAGGAACACCCAACCATCCTCAGGGACCCCTAAATTTCCCTCCGGAACCCCAAATCTGTAAATCAAGCCCCCAAACCTCCCTCAGAGACACCAGAATTTCCTCAGGAACCTCCAACCCCCCTCAGAGACCCCCCGCTCTCCCACAGGAACCCCCCAAAAACTGCCCCCCGAGGCCCCAACCCCCACCAAGGACGGTTCCAAACCCCCCCTGTGACCCCCAAATCTCTCCAGGAGATCCCAGAATTCCCCTGGACCCCAAATCCCCCCAGATTCCTCCCAAATTTCCACAGGGATCCCCAAAAAGCGGCTCCGGCCCCCCCCCCCCCTCCCCCCCCCC